TTGACTCCATATGAAATAAATTTGGTAAAATAAACAAGCAAAACCTTCACAGAAACTGTGAAACTTCATAAAAATACTTTTTGAAACTGTAATCCTTGCAGCCAGAGAGAATTAGAAAACCCACTGTCATAAATATACAATTCTCCCGAATTAAGGTATTACATTAAGTATAATTTCAGCCAAAATCTTAAGAGGTTTTAATTTTTTGATGGAATCTGACAGGCTGACTTGAAAATTTATGTGAATGACCTGAGATTAGCCATGCACTCTTGAAGAATCAGATCCAGGGAGGGGCTCCCATGTGAGACAGCTGCTAGGGGACCAAAGTGTGGCAGTCGTACAAGAATGGGCACCAGGATCAACGGAGCCAAGCAGAAAGCTTCTTAATTATGGGATGCTGGGTATCCGTGCATGGTGGTGGAGGTGGGGGTTGGTTTATGATGGATCCTGCCCACCAAACACACCCCAAGCAATGGACTCCAGGTGGACTCCCAGATCCAAGTTTGGAAGAGAACACATGAGAGCTTTTAAAAGGTGAATGGGGTGATGATCTTCATAACTTTTGGAAAGGAAAAGGTTTCCTAAACCAGACACAGAACGTGCCATCCGTAGAGGAAGTGAATGACAAATCAAGTGCTTTAAAGTGGGGAACTTTTATTCATCAAAAGACAGCGTTCAAAGAAAGCAAAGACAGACCACTACTTGGGAGAAGAATCTTGCAATATATACAACCACCAAAAGGACTTGTAGCCACAGCATATAAAGGAATCTTAGAAATTAGTAAGAAAAAGACGACTCAATCAGAAAAGAGGAAGGACCTCTACACATACTCAGAAAAGAGAAAAACTACATAGCCGGGAAACAAATCCTTATTAGTAATGAGGGACATGCAACTCTAGCTCACAAGGTGGTATCAGCCTGCAACCACGTGGTCAACGTGGCAACCCTAAGAATTGTTCCATGGGGCCACAGGGGCTCTGGCTCTGCTGGTAGGAGTGCAGACTGATACAAGTGTTTTGGGAAACAGTTTGGAAGGACTGGATAAAGTTGACATGCACATATCCTATGACCTAACAATTTCACTCCTAGACATACACCTGGAGAAATTCTCCAACATGTCCAGAAGACCTAGCAAGAATATTTACAGCAGCATTTTTCCTAACAGCCCAGACCTGAAGACAGCTGGGTCTCAGTACATTTAAATAATCAAACACTACTCTCTAGTGTGAATGAATGAGCGAACTGCTGTGAGCAACAGGGATGAACCTCAGCAACGTCATGTTGAGCAATGAAAGCAAGTCATAGAAAGACTTATTGTTAAAAAATATGTAAAATTTACATATTTTAACTTAATTTAATTTTAAAAATTTAATTTAAAAATTTACAATTAAAAATTATGTAAAATTCAATTTTTTTAGGTGTACAAACATATATGCTATAGAAATATGAGAGTGAGAGTGATCACTACCAAACTTAGAAGGGTGATTAACCTGTCAGGTGAGAGACAAAGGGACAAAGATAGGGAAGAAATTAATAGAATTATACAGAAAACACACATATATATATGAACATGTAGAAAGAAATATACACAGGAAAATATATAAACACACATGAATTGTATACATATAAATATACACAGAAAATTCATAAGCAATATTAATGTTTTTTCTTAAGCTAAGAATTAGGTATACATTCTTAGTTGTATTATTGACGTTTTAAGCATTTATGAGGCAGAGAGAGCATGATTACATTACCATCCACTAGTTCACTGTCTAAATGCCCACTCTCCAGATGGCTGGGGTTGGAACAAGGCTGGCACTGGGCGGGGCAGGGGCTGAGGGTGGGGCCAGGAGGCGGTCCAGGTCTCCCCAGGGGGTGGCAGGAACTCAGTCGCCTGGGCTATCAGCCTTGCCTGTGGTGGGCCTGCATTAGCTGGAGGAAGGGACCAAGGCTGGGAGTCGACCCCAGGCCCTCTAACGTGGGACGTGGGTGTCTTAGCTGCTGGAGGGAAAGTCCACTCTCTGTTTTATATGTATGTAACAGACATTCTTGGGGTGGGGGCTGGGGTGCAGCGGGCTAAGCCTCCTCCTGCAGCGCTGGCATCTCATATGAGCGCTGATTCTGTTCCCGGCTGCTCCTCTTCCGATCCAGCTCTCGGCTGTGGCCTGGGATAGCAGTGGAGGATGGCCCAAGTGCTTGGGCCCCTGCACCCACGTGGGAGATCTGGAGGAGGCTCCTGGCTCCTGGCTTCAGATGTGCCCAGCTCTAGCCATTGTGGAAATTTGGGGAGTGAATCAAGTGGATGGAAGACCTTTCTCTCTGTCTCTCCTCTGTCTGACTCTACCTCTCAAGTAAATAAATAAAAAATATCTTAAAAAAAAAATCAGGCTATGAATACAGAGCTACATAAAGCAGCTATAAAAAACCCATTCTTTTGTTTCTAGTCAATATTTAAAAATAATAATTTTAATGGATGCTAAAATATCATGTATTTGAAAACACTACCGTAGTAGTAATATGAATTCCTACCAATCACTGAGTGAGTACCAGGAACGAATGCTTTCAAGGACATGAGCTAAATCAATTCTTACCAGCACCCTCTGAGATAGGTATGTCATCATTCAGAGTCTGCAGATGAGCCGAGGAGACTCGGGGGTCAGCGGCTGGTCTGGACAATCTGGAGACCGCACCAGGTCTGTCTGAATCTAGGGCCCGGCTCTTCACCAGTCCCTGGTCCTTCCTCCCGTGCAGAACTGAGCCCAGAACACCCCAGACACCGGCTGCTTCCCCAGAGCAGTGAGCTTAGTCCCGCGTTCCCCGCAGACAGGATCCCTACGGTCCGGAAGTGCTTCCTGAGGGCTGAGGGGGACGGAAGAGCTGAGAAGGCGCCTCTGAGCGCAGAACTGCTTGCGCCCTGGTGGGCTTTTTCAAAGGACTTCTACATCGACATTTTTATTCATCCCACGGTGACAGCAGGATGAGAGGTGCTGGAGGGACCAGCCGCTCCAAGAGGGCCTTGAGCCGTCTGAAAACTGTTCAACAGGTGGGCGGCACTGACCCTAATGGCAAAGGGTTTTTGCTGCTAGTTAGCAGGTCCTGCAGCAACACTGACCACGTGCTCGGCCGTGGTGGGTGTGGCTGGGGGACACATGGGGTGTAGTCTGCAGGAGACGGGCTTGTCACAGACAACGTGACCCAGCAGTCGCCCAAGTTTAGGCTGGTGTTGACAGGTAAGAGACCATGGGATCTGGGGACCACTTTTACTGAAGGATGCCTCAGAAGAAGTGTCTCATCACAGAGGAAGAAACGCAAATACGTGAAGAGCACACAAGCCACGGGCGGCTCTCAGACCTGCTGCCTTGTGCTTCTGCCGTAACACGAAAATAACAGGCTCCGTGCCTCACAACGTCTCCGCTGCTGGTCCTCCTTCCACTGCAGGAAAAGGCTGTCAGCCGCTGTCACTCGGAGGCGTTACCGTATCAGCCACCACTCTCTACGGCTCCTGCGTGGGGTGGCTATTCCTCTAGGAAGCTTCCTCTGAGGCCGCCCTGGGCTACGGCAGCAGAAACCACAGGCTGAGGTCTAACCCCCAACAAAGGTGTGTGTGCTGTGTGGTAGGAAGCGGGAAGAGCACTTTATCATAAGTACTGATGGGAGAAACTGACTTCAATTCTATCGGCTGTACTTCCTGAAAGGTTAAAAAAAAAAAAACCAAACAAACCCCAAATATTTAAAAGTGTTTTAACCAATGTAAGGTTCTGGGGCTGCAGAGCTGGCAAAGCGTATTCGTGTGCGCGTGAGCCAATGAGCAAGTCTGAGATCTGCAAGGGGGAAAGCACTGCAGGAAAGCTCTTGAATTCACTCTGCATTAACAGCTGAACCCAAGCCAGGGGGCTCCTGCACCTTCACAAGGGTTCTGAGCATTTCATTTGAAGACAAAGAGATGTCTGTAACAGAATGTGTGAACCACTTTTCCAAGCACTGATTACAACCGCAGTGAGCTGACAAGGCAGAGAGCAAGCGAGCCAGAGCTGATCCAGAGCCAATCCACTCGGAGGTTGCCACGGCCACCTTCTGCATTCCTTCCCTCGTCCTGTGCCCCAAGCCTCCCCTGCCTCATTACTGACCCTGCAGCTATGCAGACAATTAGAAGCTTCCAGTCCTCAGGAGTGTTTCCTATTTCTGGCCATTGTGTACTGGTTACTAAGCTACTACTGCTGAAGATCAAATGGTAGCCCAGAAGCCCAAAAGACAAAGTACTCAAAAAAGCCTAGCAAATTCCAAATTCATGGATTCAATCAAAATGTGACTCAGAGGACCGATGTGACGAATAGTAGACAAGTCAAGCATATGACAGCCGACAATGATCATTGCAACGCTATATGCAAATAGAGGTTAAAGTAAGGAATCCCACCTCCCAGAGAATTAAACTAACGCACAAAGCAGTAAAGTCTGTTGCTGAAAGCGACCTAAAACAGAATAATCACCCAGAGCCCGTGAAAGCCTTGGTAACACCAGACACACAAGCTACAGAACAACATGCTCCATGTTTAAGCCACTGGCGTGGTTTCACATCACTTTTGCCATCTCCAACTATATGGGAATTAGCATTTACTTCATGTTTTTCTTTAAACTGACATGAAAACAACTCATTCTAAAAAGTCTTAAGCCTCTCCCAAGCAATACATTGTTACATGCACTGTTGATATGCGTTTTTTTTTTTTCACAACTAAAATAAAAATGTTCACCCACAATCCATCTAAAATCGTCTCATGTGTCCCACGAGTTCCCATGGGGAAGGAGTGGATGGAGTATTTTAACTCCACAAAGATGACCTAGCAGAGTGAGTCTGTTTTTCAATATCAGGAAAAAACGAGGAGGAAAGAGGCTGTTCATGAAGGATTTAAACTAGATTGGAGAGGATGGGGGGCAGGGGGTGGCGAGGAGGAAGGGAGAAGCAACTTCCGAGCTATGGAAGATAAAAGCTCAGGGTCACTCACATGAAATTTTCTGGATATTCGCTCAGGGCCATGTCGATGATGTTCAGAGCGTCGTGGTAGTGTTTTTGTGCTGACAGGAGGAGGGCAAGCAGGTGCAGGGAGTTGGCATCATCCCCCTGAAGTTGAAGAGCTTGGCGGACGTACCCCAAAGCCTCCGGTATCTGAATTAGAACGAAAGCACAAAAAAAGAATTTGAAAACACAACACACACACACACACACACACACACACAATTGCAGCCACAGAAACACAAGGAAGCACTCATCCTTTGGATTCGGGACTCTCTGTAAGCACCAAGAGTTTGTTTCACATTGTGACACATTGGCTTAGGAAGCCAAGCCTTTATGGCAGCCCCAGGACTTTCACCACAAACAGGAAAACAGTCGCCTGCTCGTCTGCTCGGAGCCTCTGACGGATGAAGTGATAGGAGAGACCCCTTTCTCTATATAACTGCCAACACCAGACCTCCTTTTTCTTCCCAAATAAACATTTCTCATTTTTTCCAAAAACGGATCTACTTTTGATTATGCCCAAGATGGTTTCACTGCATATGGAGATGCACAGAACTTGCCAGGGGTTTTTAGGGGAATGAAGCTGCCTTAGCTGAACTCTTCTCATTTTTTTTCAAAGCATTACTGAAATTAAAGTGCTCAATAAGTCACAAAGCCTTCAACACAGCTCTCCAAACCATCAGAGCCCCAGGTTCTTTCTTGGTTCCTTTGTCCTGGGTCTGCATTAGACATCAAAATAAGCAAATAAATCCCACATTTCCAAACTACAACCCAAAATAACTTAATCTTTGGAACAAACTGAAATGTTACATATAAAAGGGATGTCCCCAAATTCAGGTAGGAACGGATACATCTGAACCTTACAATGTAAAACTCTTCAAAATCACCCAAGCACAGGGCTGATAACCCTGGGGCCCTGCAGGCTTGACAGTGATGAAGGAGAATCAGAACTCACCCCTTCCTGTCTCGCCTCCAACTCCAGCCCTGTGCAAGGGGCCTCTTAGCTCTCTGGCCTTTTCCCAAACCCTCAGTAACTGTCCCCTTTTGTAGAAAGATGTGACTTCTCTTCCCCTTTCCTATAGTTTTCGCTCCCTCTTGATGGATTTGGGTTATAAATGCTGCCTACGGGGGCTTTCTGTTTTGAACCACCAAGTCCTGATCAGAGCCGGAAGCGAGATGATCTGGCCCCACTCTTGGTTTACAGAGAGGAAGCGGAAGTGCAGAGGTGCAGGGCCACCCAGCCACCAAGTGCGACTCCGGATCTTGAGCTCCTCCCTGTGCTCTGCTGGTCAAATGCAAAGGCTCCGAGGACAAGAGGGTCACAGCCTCTGCCCGGGTCCACCGGGAACACTGCTCAGAGCTCTGCCGTTCTGATGCCGTAAAGGCCGTGGCTGCACTGACAAGGCTCCACCAGTTTATCCACGCCCCAGGGAGACGAGCGGCCGCGTGGATGGCACTCAGCGGGCTGTCACGGAGAAGGTTTGAAGGCAGGGATGGCCAGAGCAATCAGGGACAAACTGATACGGAGCTCAAAATGGTATCTGGAAGGGACAGCTGACTTGAAGGAATTTGAAGCTGGTTCCCCCATTCAGTGAGTGCTACTGAATGCTGACCACACGTCAGACAGTGTTCCAAGTGCCAGGGCAAAGTGATGACCAGGGCTCCCCAAGCCCAGGGAGCAAGGCGGACCCTGCACAGAGCTGAATAAGGGCAGGGGGAGTCCAGGCTGCCACCAGAAGGCCCTTCAGGGACGAGGGGAGCAAAGTTCCCAGTGAAGGGCCCAGAGGGGAGCCGTCAGCCCACACCTGTTGCCGCTGAAGCTCCTGACCAGCCCATGCAGCTGAGCACTTCCGTGGGGGGAAGGCATCTTGGTTTCTTCAGTGCCCAGCCTGCCAGTGGGAGCCACTCTCCCTACCACTCCCAGCAGCTGGAAGTCAGACTCACGCTGTGGCCCAGTGCTGCCAGGAAATGGCGCGTCTGAGGAGCTGACCTCTGAGTCACCCTCTTGCTCAGCATTCTGGACGATGCTGGGGTCACCACCAGTGTCTTGCACCTGGTGGGCAGGCCAAGTGGCTGGACTTCCAAAACAGCTGAGAGTGCACAGGACTGTTCAAGAATGGCCAAGGCAGCTTCCGGAAGTTTCCTGGGGGACGATGAAGTCCAGCAAAGCTGTCCTTCCAGCAAGGAGAATACTCCTTGAGTCTCCTACCTCACATGGCCACTGTGTGTGACTTTGTTCCTGTGTTCTGTGGACTGTAAAGAGCCTGATTTCTTCTGTCTGTACCCACTGGCATCTTCAGTCAATTACTAATACCCTGACGACAGCCAGGCCCCAACCAGTGACTAAATCCCCACCTTGTACCTCAGCAATGGGCTCTGCTCCCCCACTCCTGTTGGGGGGGACAAAGGCTGGTGGATAGCTCCTGCGCTGCCCTCCCTGTCGCCAGCTGACCCCAGGTTGGGCCCACCCCAGTTCTGGACGTAAGATGCAAAAGCGGAGGCTGGAGCCCCTGTGTCTTCACAGCCAATGCTTGAGCCTCCCCGACACAGCGGAGAGGGGTCGGCAACCTCGGAGGACCTCCGGCTGCCAGCCAACCTCTGGTGAGCGCTCCTCCATCCGGGCAGCAGAAGCAGTCACGGGCAGGGGACACTTCGGGGACTGACCTGCCTGGAGATGGCAAGCTGCAGAGCCAGGTAGAAGGCGGCCTGGTGATCTGTAGGCGACAGGCTGTGGGCCCTGCAAGGCATGGATGGTAATCAGTATGGGGGAGAGGCCATTTTCACCTCCCCCATCAAACCAGTCTTGTTCACATTTGCGTCTATACCCAGCCCACTCATGTTCTCTCCTTTGTCCGTTAACGAACGGGAAGCGTTGCTCCTCTCCCCACGGCACAGCATCAGGCAGGCACATGTCTCTGAGTCCTGTCTAGCATCCAAAATGACAGCCTTGAAGCTTGCAGGCTTTGAGCAGGGGCCTGGCGGGGAGAAGCCCCAGGCCCTGAGGTCTGACTTCCCCAGGAGTCACTTCCCTGGGGTTGAGCAGGCGGAGCCCAGGTGCCACGCTGGGACTCTGGTGAAGCCGTGTGTGCCCTTGGCAAGGCTGCTTTGGTTAAATCTGGCATGGCTTTTACGCTACTTCATCCAAATTTCTGGATTTCAGAGAACCCATATGAAAATCAAAGCTCCAGCTTTGCTTGTAAAATGGGGCTTTGGTTTTGATGAACTATGAGGGGAGAGAAGGACAGTCGCTCAGTCTTTTGAAGCTGTTGGACTGCATGCAGTCGGCTAACTCTGTCTACGTAACTGTAATGTGTGAGACTCTGTGGCCAGCCACTAGGCTGGGTTTTACTAACTGGCCACTGACACTGGGAGGGACGAGGCTGCCACGGCCTCCTGAGGCAAACATGATCCCCTTCGCCTTTACATGCAAGTGAACTGAATTTCAGTACGAGCCATTCAAAACGTGCCTATGTCCAAGACATAATTCTGAGTTTAGCAGTCTGGTGGGAAGAGAAAAACAAACTTTTACTTTCTTTAAAAGGCACCGTGGAGCAGACTAATTACGAACGGTGGGGCCCAGATCGTAAACACACCATCATGTTGATGTGTCAACATTCTGGGACTACAAGAGTGTCTTCCATGAGCATAATGCAAATCCAAGATAAAAAAGAAAACCAAATCAGTATGGATTCAACTGTGGCAAACGTGCCAAGGAGGGCTCTCTGCAGGAACCGGGCCTTGGAGTTAACTCGCCTGTCTGATGCGGGGAAGGGAGACAGGAGGTCTCCCAGGATTTGTCATCAGAAAGCGTGCCAAGCCCACTGTGGGGAGGCACGGCCTGGGCAAGTGTGGTAGCTCCTGTGCAGGACTGCAGTGCAGCGGATGCCAGCCTCTGCCCTTCACGACCAGAACGGGGCCCCTGCATGGCTGTGCGACTTTTTCCCCCTAGTTTAAGGGTCTGAGGCTGAGTACAGTGGTCCTCCATATCCATGAGTTCCATGTCCATGGATTCACCAGCTATGGATGGAAAATATATTTTGAAAAATTGTGTCTAGAGGCCAGTGTTGTAGCACAATGGGTTAAGCCACTGCCTGTGATGCCAGTATCCCATATGGGTGCCAGTCCGAGTCCTGGTTGCTCCACTTCTGATCCAACTCCCTGCTAATGAGCCTGGGAAAGCAGTGGAGAATGGCCCAAGTGCTTGGGCCCCTGAACCCATGTGGGAGGCCAGGAAGGAGCTCCTGGCTCCTGGCTCCTGGCTTCAGCTTGGCCCAGCCTTGTCTATTGTGGCCATTTGGGGAGTGAACCAGTGGATGGAAGATTCATTCTCGCTCTCTTGTTCTCACATGCACACGCTCTCTTTCTCCCTTTCCCTCTGTATAACTGCCTTTCAAGTAAATAGATCTCTCTTTTTTTTTTTTGACAGGCAGAGTTAGACAGTGAGAGAGAGAGAGAGAGAGAGACAGTGAGAGAGAGACAGAGAGAAAGGTCTTCCTTCTGTTGGTTCACTCCCCTAATGGCCGCCACGGCCGGTGCTGAGCTGATCCGAAGCCAGGAGCCAGGTGCTTCCTCTCAGTCTCCCATGCGGGCGCAGGGCCCAAGCACCTGGGCTATCCTCCGCTGCCCTCCCAGGCCACAGCAGAGAGCTGGACTGAAAGAGGAGCAACCAGGACTAGAACCCGGTGACCCAACCAGGACTAGAATCCGGGGTGCTGGCGCCACAGGCGGAGGATTAGCCAAGTGAGCCATGGCGCCAGCCAAGTAAATAAATCTTCTAAAAAATTATGTCTGCACTGAACATGTGCACAGTTTTTACCTTGACATCCTTCCCTAATACAACAGAACGACTCTCCCCATAGCATTTACATGGTTTTGGGTGTTGTAAGTCACCTAGAGATGATTTAAAGTATGTGGGAGGGTGTGCATAGTTTACACGCAAACACCACCGCCTCTTGTGTAAGGGACTTGAGCATCTGAGGATTTGGACATCCTGGAGGTGGTGGCCTTAGCATTAATGCCCCTGCCCCCCACAGATACTGAGGGGCGACTATGTTTGCCTGTGTGGCCCTTTTAAGCATCTCATTTCTATCAAAGCCCTACTTAGTATGTTCCAGCTTTCATTATTTTTCATGAATTTGTACATCAAAGAATCTTTTTCTTTGGTGTTCATAATGACTGAGATTGGAATGTCATGGCTTCTGTCTCTCCCCATTACTCAGGGAACATGCATACAAAATTCAATAAGAAGAGATTTTGAATTAGTTGGAATAATCTATTTTATCTTGTCTTCTTAAACAAATAACGAAGCCAGGTTTCCAGAATCCTCAACAATATTTCTCAGAGCTCTGATTTTCTCAGCCTTATTCATGTTTTCTACAAATAAAGCAAAATCAAATCACGGTTGCCAGCAGACAAGGCTAACGTGCGTGGTGGCCTGGCGAGCTGTGGGTGTGGCTGAGGGCCTGTCCACCCTGCACTGTGAGACAGCATCCAGAAGTGCTGGAGACCCTGGCGTCTCTGGAATGCGTCAGGGCAAGATCTGAAGGACTTCCAACTTGGCTAACATTGCACATCCCATTGCCAGGTTCCTAGTGAGGCCCAACTTCAACATTTTAAAAACCTTACTTTGCTAATTTGGCTAATGAATTTGACCACTTTTGTCCATGCAGGAAAAAAAACAAGGGGCATGGCAAACCAAGCCTGACAGAGTGCTGTGAGCGATGCCGAGAAGGCTCGGAAAACGCGTGTCAGTCACGTGCAACTCCTTCCACAGCAAGGCTTCCTGTGACAAAGGCCCTCTGGAGTGTCACGGGCAGAGCCATCAAGTGATGCAGGCTGTGCCTGCCGAACTCTGCATGGGGATCTAAGCAGCCCAAACGCTCCATTCGCACACAGCGGGCACCTGGCCAGGCTGCTGTGAGAAGTCCAGAGACTTAAGCATGTCACAAAGATGCTCACAAAATGCGTCCCTTGTCAAAGCACTTCCGTGCCCATTAATTCAAGTTCTCTCCTGTGAAGAAGAGGCCACCCTATCTATCCACCCATCCACCCAACCATAAGCACATCTGTCTACATGATGCCGTGTCTACTAGGATAACAGGCACTATGTCAGCCTCCAGGGAGCCTGCAGATGATCATACAAGTGCCTTTTCTTGAGGGGAGACCCAAAGTGGTCACCACAGTGCAGTGGCAGCAGAGCCCAGGGAGCGGCATGCTGGGCCGCTGGTGGGGGCATGGGATGAGGCCGCCAGAACACCTGGCTAGATGCCAGATGCTGCGAGGTCCAGCCCAGCACTCTCCTGGACTCAAGCTCCAAATTTCTGTGGAAATGAACCCAGAGTATGGAGAAGGCTGATCCCTTAGACCCTGGTCCATCAGGCATTTTCTAACAATAATTCCAATCCCTGACTTCTCTACTACATAGCATTTTGCCCAAGACCAGACAGCAAAAGAGGTGGTGGAGATGGAGAGGAATGTAGCATGTGTCGTTCCCAGGCCTGGATTTTGAGCAATGTACCTCGCTCAGCCGCGTCTCCCTGAGGTGTCCTTTAGTCCTGAGTGCAGCAGATGTGGGGTTAGCATATGAATTAACAAAGGAAACTTGCAAATCTGGTTAGATAGAATTCTCAGGAACCTGCCGTTAGTTACACACAGAGGGTGACCAGTTTGTCCGGATTTCCCAGGACTTTCTTGGTTTAGCACCGAATGTCCCACATTCTGGGAAGCTGCTCAGTCTCTGACAGATCGGAATGGTTTGTCACCCTCCACACACAAAGTATACCACACAACCAAAGCAAACTGAAGTGAGGAGGGACAGGGGACAGCAAAGTGTGACTGCCACTGTGAGTGACAAACACGAATGACATCATGCCGCCTCTTCCTGGGGGAGAGGCCCCGGCTTTCTGTGCACTGCAGACTGATGCACCTGTTTTGGGGCCTGCTGTGCTCAGCGGGCCATGAGAGCCCACAGGAGCGGCCACTGAGACCCACTGCATCACCTCCACAAAGCTGGGCGACATTGTTTCTCTACACCATACTTTTGTACAGCACAAAGGAAGTGGTGCAGTTGCTTGGGTTCAGTTTCTGTAAGAACAGCTGACATTATCATAATAAGACTCAGCCATGCAATTTGGATGTCTTCAAAAATCACCTCTGAGTTCACTAGAAAGAAAATCGTCTGCATCCTGGCTGCAGTCATAATGGAGAGTTACTTTTCACCTGCTGGATCTGTGATTTCATTCCTTTTGAGTTGCATTATTCTTTTTAAATTAAAAAATGCAAAACAATAGTATCAGCAGAATTGTGGGGAGAATATTCAAAATACATAGTAGAAAAAGTATTTATCATCCTACTAGTTTTAAATTATGCACTTCCATTTAAAAAGTAATTAAAATCATTGTTATTTACTTAAAATATTTCCCTTAAAGATTTTTGTTAGGACTGCAATTCACTAGGATAGTCCTAGTTAATTAATGTATGATTGAACCAAAATAATTTTATTCCTTTGAAAACATTCTTTTTCAATTCAGGTTTGCCTTCCACCATATAATCAGTTGGGTCAGTGGGCTTTTATTACTCCTTATTCTAATATTTGAAAAAAAAAATCTCTTTGAATTGAGACCTCAGCTAAAAAGAGAGAAAAGGGAAATCGGGCCAAGGGAACAGCTGTCACACAATGCAAAGGGACGCTGGCAGCTCCCGGCAGACCACCGCCCGGCTGTTCTGAGAGAGCCGCAGGACGTGCTCATCGCAGGAACGCGAAGCAGATGCAGTGACTGCTTTCTTGGGCATCCTTGTGTGGGCTCTACAGAGGAGGACTGCAGAATTCAAAACTCGCCATCATTTGAAATGGAAATGCTTTCTACACTCCTGGCTGAAGAACGTCAACAGGAGCCGCAGGCAGACAGGAGGTCTGTCTGCAGGTGTCGGCTGGTGCCTGTGTCATCAACCAGACAGAGGCCGGCTAGAGAGAGGAAGCTGTGCACAAGGCTGACAGAAAACAGATGGGAACGAGATGAGAGAGCCGCGGACAAACCCAAACCAGGGAACAAGAGGTGCAAGGACACCTCGATGGGAGTGACGGCAACCCCAGCACTGAGGAAAGAATCTAATAAAGGGCATCGTGCATCAAGGGACTTCATGAAACTTTTTAATAACTAAGTTTCCAACAAGATTCCAAGAAATCAAGGAAATTCGGGGCTGGTGCTATGGCTCACTTGGCTAATCCTCCACCTGTGGCGCTGGCATCCCATATGGGCTCCTGGTTCTAGTCCTGGTTGCTCCTCTTCCAGTCCAGCTCTCTGCTGTGGCCCGGGAGAGCAATGGAGGATGGCCCAAGTGCTTGGGCCCTGCACCCACATGGGAGACCAGGAGGAAGCACCTGGCTCCTGGCTTTGGATCGACGCAGCGCGCCAGCCACAGTACACTGGCCGTAGCGGCCATTTGAGGGGTGAACCAATGGAAGGAAGACCTTTCTCTCTGTCTCTCACTCTCACTGTCTGTAACTCTACCTGTCAAATAAATAAAATAAAAAACCTTAAAAAAAAGAAATCAAGGAAATTCAGATAGATTTAAGGTGGCAGGATCAGTACCAAGTCTAGACTTCACATCAAGGAGCTATGCTTTCAGGCAGCGAGTTCATTTTAACGGTTCATGATATCTTTCAGAGGAAAATAACTAGGGCAGTACAGTGTGGTGGGTCAGAGTCGGGAACCACTGATTCTACCTTGGCCTCGATATCTCCCTGACTGGTAACGCCTTCAGCTTCTGCGTCTCTCTGCTGGTCCTGTCTACCTGTGTGGGGTGAGGGGCAAATTAACGAGGACGTGAAAGAGCACTGTTTGTAATTATAAAGCATCCTTATTTCAGAAAGGCATGACAAGAGAGAAGCATAAGGTGTGGTGGAGGGTGAGAGGCTCTCTGGGCTGACCTAACAGCAATTCAGCTTCCAATATCTGGCTTTTCCATTTCTTAACTCAAAAACCTACAGCTTGGCATGTAAAAAAAAAAAAAAAAAAGCTAGAAAGGAATAAAGGAATGAGCCCTTTGCTAGATGACGATGAATGTCTTTAATAAAGGAATCATCTCTCTAGACATACAAAGCGTCTATCTTTCTCAGGCTGGAATTGCTTTATTGGGGTGAATAAAATACCCCCAAATGGATAAACAGCTTAAGAAGGCAGATTTATGTGGCAACAAGTAATCCAGCAAGCTCTGATAATGCACGTTCAGTGCTCAAGACAAAGCCTCCCAGGGGTAACACACTGTTTGCATAATCTTTATAAATATCTCTGCTTTTTATGCTTATCATACTTGGTGTCATGGTGTGTAGCCGAGTGAGAAGATGAACTCCCACTCACCTCTGAAACGCGAGCAGCGCCTTTCTCTGCAGGACCTCCTGCATCCCTCGCAAAGAAGCTAAGAAAAAGGCTCAGTTAGTCAGGGGCATGGGAGATCAGGGAGTTTTTGACAAATAAGCCATCACAAAAATTACACATGCAACTGGCTTAAAGACAACAAGTTCTAAGATTCCCTGTGCCCAGTCCTAGAGCAGGCACTGTAGAAGACAGGACATGAAGCCCGATCCCGCCCCAGAGAGACCTGCACTTGGTGGCTATCACATGAACCATGCCAAGGGGACAGTGGGAGCTGGAAGTCACTCTCTGCAGCCTCAGGCTTATGGGGGCATCTTCCAAAGACCAGCTGGGAACCCCAGGAGGCATGTCTGTCCTTCTGAGTGTAGGCGTGGCCCTTGTGGGGCTGGATCAAGACCACCAGCAAGTGATGACCCTGGGCCAACAGCACCAGCTTGATGCTATGAAACACCAGTTTAATTCCCAATTGGGCAATGGCCAGGCCCACTGATACTCTGGTGAGCACACATGGAAGGAGCAGGCATATCCAACACTGGTCCTGGGAAATCAGCTCCACACTGTGAGGCCCCTGGCTGTGAGCTGACACTATCCCCCTGCAGGGCATGTGAGAGTCTTCAGCCTGCCTAGGAAGGAAAAGGGGCAAGAAGAAAGGTCCTGGAGGAACCTGTTTGTGGTCAAGCCACACGAGGCGCTTGTCCAATAACTCCAGCCTGGCAGCTCCCAGTCTGACACGGGACCAAGAGCCCTGCACGGCTACCGCCCAGGCCCAACACAGAACAACAGTGACCGCAGGAGGGAATGGCAGGGCCACTCAACTGAACCGCGAGTTCAAGAGGAGACCCAGTGGGGCCAAGTGACCCTCCCAAAGTTCCAGGGCCCATTAGGGGTATGCTCTGAACTAAGAATATTGTACAGAGACAAATCCATGACACTAAAGTCTCTCTTCATTGGAAGTCTACCACATTTGAAGCAAGGTTTGTGTACGGCCAATGAGGCCTATGAATGTGGAAACTTAGTGAGAGATTCAGCCCCCAAAGGTAATTGCAATGCTCAGATTCCCCAGGGTCTTTGATATTTTAGGACCTGGGGAAAGGACCGAAGTAATTTGTTAAATAGATTCCAAAACTACAAAGTAAATAAAAAGAAGGAAGTACTGCAGAAGTGTGCATGGTACTTTCCCTAAAGTGGGGAGGCAGGCTTGCAATGGGAGGAACAGGAGGCGGCCTCCCTGGGTGGCCAGCGGGGTTCGAGCTCTTGAGCAGGGTATTTTGCTTCATACTCATTCGTTGTTATACATTTGTTTCAGAGATTTTTTTTTTTCGGTATTTGTGCTATATTTAACAACATGTTCAAATAATAAGAAATCAGAAAAACAATCTGTATTTCCTGTAAACATATGGCTGAAACTTCATCAAGCAAACTATAATTAAGATCTGGCTTTTAGACAGAAGCCCTTACAACACAGCTCTAAGCACATGCGAGGGGTATGAAGCATAGCACCTCAGAGCCTAGCTGTTTGGGGAGACGCCCCACTTGCACGTGTGTGTGAATGGAGGTGTGAGAAGGGGGACAACGCTGCTTCCATCCAGTTAGGGAGTTAAGGGAAGCCATGTGGGAGTGTTTGCCCTTGAACTCTGCTATGCACCTCTTCCTAAGATTTAATGCCCCTTCACATGGGATGGCGTGGGCCAGGAACTAGGCTGGGACAGGTGCAAGGCTGGGCTGAGAGAACCATCTCTCTGCTGGTGCCTCAGGATGATCCTTTGCACTCTCCTAAGGCAGAAGGGGACGGTGGGGTCCTGCCGAGCAGACATGGGCCCCCCGGGGGCGGGGCTTCTCTCACCATCAGTGGCCTGCAGGCTGTACGTGAGTCCCAGAGCTAAGTAGCCTTTGGCCTTGAACTCGGATGTTTTCTCTCCCACATCGACAACAGTTTTGGCAAAATTTTCAGCTTCTTCCAGCTGAAAAATGAGACAAGTTAAAAACAACAACAAAACCTGCAGAATTCCTAGCATCAGTTCCCATAAGCATCTCCTGCCAAAGAAGGATTTCTGATGTGCCTCTCTGAGGACGACTTCCCACTGAGCCTCCTCAGGATGCCCACCTGCCCTCTGCCCCTTAAAGTTTCCCTAATCATTCTTTCGCCTTCTTTTCCAAAGTCATGCTCATGCTTTTTGTTTCTTTCCATCTTTATTGTTTATGGATTGGTTCTGTGATGAAGTTGTACTAGCTACTAAAAAGCAGAATTAAATATATTTTGTAAGGATAAAGTTCTTGGGGCTGGGCCGGCACCGTGGCTCACTTGGTTAATCCTCCACCTGCGGTGCCAGAATCCCATATGGGCGCCGGGTTCTAGTCCCAGCTGCTCCTCTTCCATTCCAGCTCTCTGCTGTGGCCCCAGGGGGTACAGTGGAGGATGGCCCAAGTGCTTGGGCCCTGCACCCGCATGGGAGACCAGGAAGAAGCACCTGGCTCCTGGCTTCAGATCGGCGCAGCACTGGCCGTGGTGGCCATTAGGGGAGTGAACCAATGGAAGGAAAACCTTTCTCTCTCTCTCTCTGTCTATAACTCTACCTGTCATATAAAAAAAAAAGTTCCTGGGGTCAGCACTGTGGCGTAGGGGGTAAAGCCACCACCTGCAGTGCCGGCATCCTATGTGGGCACTGGTTTGAGTCCCTGCTGCCCCACTTTCAATCCAGCTCTCTACATGGCCTGGGAAAGCAGTAGAAGATGGCCTAAGTCCTTGGGCCTCTGCATCTGCATGGGAGACCTGGAAGAAGCTCCAGGCTCCTGGCTTCGGATCGGTCCAGCTCTGGCTGTTGTGGCCATTTAGGGAGTGAACAAGCGGATGGAGGACCTCTCTGTCTCTGTCTCTGCCTCTGCAACTCTGTCTTTCAAATAAAATAAATAAAGCTTTTTTTAAAAAAAAGAATAAAGTTCTTGGGTGGTGTTTTATGCTTTGGCCTTTTAAGAAAATGATATTAAGGATGCAAGTAGGTTTGGATTCTTTTTGTGACAAGTAGTTACAAAACTAGGGGGTAGCTGTTGTGGCACAGTGGGATAAGCAGCCACTTGGATGCACACATCTCATATCGGAGTGCCAGCTGGAGTCCTGGCTGCTCCACTTCCAACCCAGCTTCCTGCTGTTGAACCTGGAAGGTGGCACATGGTACCAGTACCTCAAGTACTGGGGCCACTGCCACCACCTAGGAGACTCAGAGGGGTTCCTGGTTCCCGGCTTCTGCCTGGCCCCGCCCTGGTTATTGTGGGCATTTGGGGAATGAACCAGTAGATGGAAGTGCTCTCTCTCTCTCTCACTCTGCCTTTCAAATAAACAAACCTTTAATAAAAAAATTTCAAAGCTTTACCTATTTGTTTTATAACACACAACACATGGACCTTGCACCAGCAGATTCTAGTGAGGAAATGTACATGTTGTGAACTTTACCCATGACAAGACCTCTTGCTCAATTCCTTAGCTTTAAAATTAGCAAGATTTCAACATGTGATGGCTTTTGGAAAGTCTTGGTTTTTTCCCATCTTTAATAATTTCATTTAAAAAATTTCAACAGTCATATACGAATTGTACATATTAATGGGATACTATGTGATGTTTCAATACATGAAACTGCTAATAGCAAAAATGTAAGAAAAAATACACACAAGGCTTGGTACTTGGATCTTTAGGAAAAATAAAGAAGAAGTTGGGGCAGGTATTACGGTGCAGTGGGTTGTGCCGCAGTATGGGACACTGTATCCCATACTGAGTGCTGGCTTGAGTCCCAGCTGCTCAGTGCTTCCAGTCTAGCTTTTGCCAATGCCCCTGGGGGCAGCAAATGATGACTCGAGTACTTGGGTCCCTGCTACCCTCATGGGAGACCTAGATGGAACTCTTGGCTCTTGCCTTCAGTTCGGCCCAACCCTGGCTGTTGCAGACATTTAGGGAGTGAACCAGTAGATGGAAGAACTGTGTCTCTCTGCCTTTCAAATAAATAAATGTTTTTTAAAAACAGTTTTATTTTGGACACGTAGGGCTGCATAGGTTATAGTAATAAAGCAACCCTGGCTGGACAGAGGGAAGCAGAGTCGCTGTTGGATACGGCCAGTTCCAAACCCAAAGGCAGGGTCCACTCCTCCACCCACTCTTGGAAGTCTCGAGTTGGGCCCTCTGCTTTGACAATGTGCAGACTGTCAAAACCTACAGGACCACACCCGACTCCCTGACTGTCAGGTGACAGTCTGCTCTCTCAAGATGTCTTTTTTCTTTCTACATTTTCCCAAGCAAAACTGAACAAAAACGAAGCACTTTCTTCACAAGGCTTATCCCCTGCAAGGTGAGCACACGTGGGAAAAAAGCAAGCAGCAGGCCCCTGACTGGGAGAAACCCAAGTGAGCAGGGAGCACATTCTTCCTGTCACTCATCTTGATATGAAATCAGAGGACATAATTAAAACTCCATCCTATGCGGCAGTTACCTACAGCACTGGCTCAGTGACTGCTCTGAGCTTTCTATTTCTTACTCAGATTTTTGAGGTAGGTATCAGAATGGTTACAAGTCAGGTTAATGCCAAAATCAAGCTTGATCAAGAGTATTTGAGGAAGAAGGTGTGTGAGGGACTGGAATGAAGATGGTTGGGTGCTTCTACCTTATAGCAACACCCAGGCTTGGACAACGGAGAACAATCCGAGGAGCACAGCTTCCTGGGCCTGCAATCCTTGCAGAGATGGATCTGAGTGTGAATTCCAATTCTATCTCACCAATGCTACTATGTAAAAAAAAGACATTTATTTATTTGAAAGGTTGAGTGACACAAAGAAAGGGAGAGAGAGAGAGAGGGAGGGAGGGAGGGAGGGAGGGAGGAGATCTTGCATTCACCTTGTGAATGCAAGCAACAGCCAGGTCTGAGCCAGGGCAAGGCCAGGAGCCAGGAACTCCATCCCGCATGAATGGCAAGGACCTCAGTATTTGGGCCATCTTCTGCTGTCTTCCTAGCATATTAGCAGGGAGCTGGATCAGAAGCAGAGCAGCCAAGACTCAAGCTGGTGCTCCAATAATGGATGCTGGTGTGGCAAGTAGCATCTTTGCCCAGGGAGCCACACTCTCACCCCATTGCTACTTCTAAAGCACATTCTCATGAAAAAGAAAAACCCAGAGTGGCCCACATATCAGTCGCCTCAGTGTGGGGTGGGAGGCCTGAGGAGTCCAGGGGGCCACATTCTGGGGCCCGAGGCAGCTTGGTCTCTGGGTCGCTGAAGGATGCCTGTCACTATCTCTCTGTGCCTTGATGTGACGAAGGTCGGCAGCTGCCCTGGAGGCCATGGCCCGACTCACCCAGTGCAGGGAGCCCATGCACAGCTTGGCGGCGAGCAGAGGGATGGTGGCGTCGTCGGGCTTCAGGCGGATGCACTCCTTCAGCACCTTCACGGCTCGGGCGGACTTGGCAAGAGGAGATTATTTCTGTGAAACTCAGAATTGTCGATAGAACCAAATACTAGCACCTTCCCAGAACGGTGCGTGGGCAGGTGCCCTCTGAATAAGGTTTCCCAACTGTGAGCCTGACCCAGCAGGGGCCTGGGGACAGTGAGGACCAGAGCCTGGGGCTTCTGAGTGACCAGGGAGTAAACTATGCATTGAGCAAGTGGAGGTGCCCCCTGGCATTGCCTTAACTTTGCTCCTTTCAGGTGAAGCCCTTGTACCAATAAGAAAAAACAGACAGTGGGTGCTTCTGTGATCATAAAAGATAAGACGTCCATTTGGGCTCCCAGCCCACACTTCCAACCAGTGTCACATGTGGCCCAATACACTGTATTGCCAAATATAATCAAAGTGTCTCCTTCAGGAATACATTAACATTTGCAAGTGAGACGGGGTCAGCCTGGAGACCAAGCTTTAGATCAGGCCCAGACAAAGTTACAGGGGCTAGAAAAAGGCAAATGTTTCAGAATTGTTCTTAGTGACATGTCCTCTCGGCCCCCAGACAACTCAGTTTGACGGCTCATGAAGAAAGCAGGCCGGGAGAGCTGCACACGGTGGGTCAGCCTTCCGCGTGGCTTGTATCATTCCAGGAAAGCCAATGACAGCCACGGACATAAAGAAAAGCACATTGCCCAGGACCACTTACTTTCCCAGCAGCCATTAGCGAGAGAGCAAACTGGTACCAGAGGTGGAACTCCTCGAAGGCAAACTTCATGGCTCTTTCTAAGCACTGGTTTGGGAAGAAAAACAAACACAGACATCTAAGAGTTGTCTCAGCTGGACAGTGTGGATTCGTGCGTGTACACACTAAGAATCCTACAAGATCCCCTGCCCTTGAACGCTTACCCTGTAACCCTCCACCTGCCCCTCCTGCCAAGGAATCTGCCGTGGACCGTGCACCCTGCCCGAGGCCAGACAACACTCACTCCACCAAAACCCAGTCCCTGATCTCAGGTAGCTGTCTGGTACAGGGAAAGAGGCAGACATGCAACAACTCAAACAGGCCAGAACTGCTCAGGGACTCGAGGGTGAGACACAGCAAGCGCCATGGGAGGGACCCCAGGAGTCGGGAACGGCACCCAGGGAAAAGGGAAGCGGAGCTGGGCCCTGACTGACTGAAGCAGAGCTGCAGGAAGAGAGGCGGCACAGAGACGCGAGGGCGCGAAGGGCGAGCTTTCACTGGCTTTGACTTGGCTGTGGCCGGTGGTGCCACAGAAAACCAGGCTGGAGGGCACAGGTAGAGCCGTGTCCCAGGGCACGTTATGGCAGCTCTGTCTCAACTCTGTTCCATCTCACTCCCTCCCCCAGCTTTGGTTCTCCCTGCTCCGTGCCCCCGCACCTCTCACCACCACAACCCCCTGTGAAGGTCATGCCTTCACCCTCCTGCTGCAGCCCTGCCCCACTGCCAGAAGCCACTAAATCACAGCTTCTTTGTCTCCCTGGTGCTGGCACTGAGCTTGCCCAGGGAGGAGCCTCTGGTCCCTGCACAGAGGGTGATGCGGTCCCGTCAGAGCTGTAGAAAGATCATAAGGACTGTGGTGAGGTTTAAAGCTGCAATGAAGGCAGGCCAGGGACAAGGTGGAGAGAATGGTCAGGGGCTCTAGAACCAAGAAATATGTCCAAGTTAGAATCAAGGACAGGAGGTCTTTGTGGGGGGAAGGGGGCACTGGTGAGCAGAGGGGCTGAAGGAGGCCCCCCAGTTTCTTGCCTGCACACCTGGGAGAAACCCATGGCACAGAAGGCCTTGTGTGTGTTTGCGAGAGGGAAGAGTGTGAAATGCCAGGTGGAAGGACTGGAGACGAGCAGCGACAATCTAGGCACACACTTGAGAAAAGTGGGGGAGCTACTGGAAGAGAACAAACCCCCCTTTCTACCCCACACCCCTGGAGCTCCCGAGAGAATGCCACCAGGCCAGAACCTTGGGCGTCATCTCTATGGAAGGGGATGGACCAGGGGTGTCACAACAGAGGTCACCGGGGATGGAGCTCGGGGAGGGGCAGGAGGGGTGTGCCGGGGCTCTAGGCTGATGAGCAGATGAGTTGGGGTGAACGGTAAGGTGGGGCGTGGGGTGGGGGAGCCCCTTGTTCCTGTCCTCCTGAGCCCTTCACTGATGCAACAGCCTGGAGTCCCTGGTCCTATGTAGGGACGTCAGCCCTGTCCTTCTAGCAGAGAGCGGAGACTGAGGTGGGAAATCGGCTCACGGAGTGGACAGAGCAGGTCCCTGAGAGGTACCCTGCCATCAGCCCCTCGCCCAGCACTGCTCTCCCTGTCGGGGGGTGGGGAGGGGGTGGGAGGCAAAGAGCAGGGCTGGGAGTTTAAACAGAGAACTGGAAAGGTTTACATGACAACCAGAGCCGCGGGGGCATGGGACAGAGGCGCACTGCGGGGTCCCCTCAGACACTGGTGCAGGTGGGCCCCGCTGCCTTCTCTCTGTGATGATCTGACACCAGCCCCAGCAGAGGAGGGTGCAGGTGGGGCTGTCAGGATTCAAGGATACGGAAGGTCAAGGAGGGAGGGCCAGGGAACAGGCGGCAGGACAACGGTAAAGCGAGGTAGTCAGAGACAAGAGAAAATTCCAAAATTTTAAATGATCTTTAACACACACACAAAAATCACAGGACACGGTGTGCTGGTTGGTTTCCTGTGAAAATCTGTCCTAGTAAGAATCCACCCAGAATTGAAGTGACAAGCAGGGGATAAGCACCTACTGCACGCCTGGTGATGGTTCAGGACGGGTATCTACAGATCACAAGCAACATGGACAACAGCATGAGCCAACAACAGGGGCAGTCCCGGAACTCCACGCTGAGCACTGGGGAGCAGCCAGAAGCTTCCGGGTGAGGCTCCCAGGAGAGCCCTGCAGAGAAACGCGCCCTCGGCCAGCACACGCTCGGCCCCAGCCCTGCCTTTGGAGCAGCAAGGTGAGGCTGCCAGGAGGGACAAGCTTGTGGACAACTGAAGTGGGGTCTAACTTTTGTTCTAGGTCCATGCCTTCTACCTGGAGAAGCACTAGAAGTATAGACATACATGCAGTGCACAAAGTGATAAGGTTTATTTAAAAGGTGAGAAAGCAAACACACACACACACACACATACGTGTGGGCACAGATGAGGAGTGGGGAAGGGGTGGGAAGGGGAGGTAGAGAGAGAGCCCCTTCAGCACCCCATCTGCTCCTGGCCTGCAGAAAGAAAAAGGCCCTTCCTAATTGCCAGCCTCTTATGAGGTCAGGAGGAGAATGGCTACACGGCACCACCACCACCCCTACCCAGTCCCAGGTGAGAGAATATGGAAATACATCCCAGGATGGGAGTGGCTTGACCGACAAGCAGACAGCTAGAATTTACATGGGGTGGGGGCCTGTGATTGTACCTCCAGTTTCGTGGTCCTAGGCTAACTCTCTCCTATCACAAGCATCCAGAATGATGTGGCAGAAACAGGAAGTGCCTGGCCTCTGATGCCAGAGAGCTGAGGCTGCCACTCAGGCCTCGAACTGCCACCACCCACCAGATTTCTCATAGGGGCTACAAAATCAACTCGTATGTGGTTAAGCTGCAACCTCCTGGCTTTGTTCATACCATCTGGACACCCCCCCCCCCCCAAAAGGACGGACACGGAGTGGCGGGGCTGGGATCCGACCTGACTCCTGCTGCTACAGTGACAAGTGACAAGCAGCTGCTTTGTGCCTTGAGGAAGCACCTGGGGTGGTAGGGGAAGAGGGGAGGATGGCAAGGAGGGGTTGGGGGTAGCTGGTGCAGGTCAGAGGTGGCCCGGCTGGGATGAGCAGGAAGGACAGGGATTAGGAAGAGGAAGGCAAGCAATGGTGGATGATGGAGGAGAGGAAGGAAGAATGATGTCACCGCGGCTGAAATCAGGCAACGGAGCCACCAAAGATGGGGGTGGTTCCGGGAGCTGCACTCAACTACTTAAGACAGCACAACCACTAGGAATTCAACGCACACCCAGACACGGCAGTGTTCAGGTGCCTTTTTCTCCTCCTTTTGCCAGGAGGAATGAAAAATCTCAACTGTTTTCCTGGTAAACAGAGGAGCTCAGCAGCTGAAGCTGTCTTCAGAATCAGAAAGCCAGATGCTATAAATAAGAGTGCATCCTATTTCCTTGCCTGCCAAAGGCTAGCACGCTCATTATCCCACAGGGGAGAAAGCCCACGGGAGAAAGCTGGGATACGTCCATCCCGGTGCAGAAGGAGAGTACCAAGGGGTGGCCCTCGCCCTCGCCAACAGTGGAATCACAGAGCACAGGGCCAGTGGGGATGTCGGGAGCACCCAGTTGAGCACCCCAAGAAGACCTTTGCCATTTTGGCTGCTATCTCTCCAAAACCCTCCCAATTTTGTAAGGGCAGAGGGGCGCCCAGATAGAAGGGAAGCAGCAGGGGTGTGTCACACACCTGCCAGGCCCTGAACCTGGGAGCAGGGAGGAAGGGGAGGGGCTGCGGATGTCACTCCGGTGGTCAGGCCTGAGGAGGGCTTCCAGTCAGGCAGGGCCTGGCCTCCTGGGTGTCTGCTGCAGCCTGCACGCCAGGTGGGTGCCGTGAGCCGAGCGGGCAGATCCACACGTTCCTCTCCTCCCTGATGGTTCCCTGAGCAAACGCCTAAGCCCCTCTCCCAACAACCCCTACCTTCCAGCCCCCAACAAGGAGCCACACGGCTTCTGCTCCAGCATTTCCCGACCTGTAGGGCTGCGTGTGCTCCCGCCGTGCCTCAGGTGTGGGCCTGGAAGCGCTAAGTCAAGGCTAGCCATCACCGCTTCCAGTCATGTTTGCCTTCTTGTGATCAGAAAGAAAACAACACCCACGTAACAACACCCAGTGCGTGAACCCTCACGTTTACTGGGTCAGAAATGACTCTTCCTTTCCCGGAACGTTGCTTCGCTTTAGAAAAGGATTCCATCTGAGAGCCCTGAAAACAGGGCACAAATTCATAGAATTGGGTGAGAATGCATGTGTCTGTTTATTTCTCTAACAGGCTTGTGGGGAACACTGCATCTGTAGCCAGGCTCGACTTACAAGTACTGCGGCATGCGGGCACCCGCATAAGAGGCCAGGGTCAAGGCAGGTGGGGGATCGCCCCCCACGCACAGTGAGGGCACGCGAGCACAGAGGCTTCAGCGACCCCACAGGCCTCAGCAAGCAGTGGCAAAGTGAGATGCGGCTGGGGCAGTGCAGTTCTGGAGTGTGCATGCCTACCAGCACCCCTGCTGCCTCTGCACACCCCCTTACCAGGCCCGCTCAGGCTGCCGACAGCTAAGACAGGCTCCTCAAGGGGCCACGTGTTCCCCAAACTAGTTCTGAGACTCAGCGATACTGCCACTGCCTATGGGGCCCCTGTTCCTGCGGCCTGTTTGGGATCCTGAGGCTGGGAAGGATGGGGGTCCCTCCGGCTTGCAGAACCTTCCAGCACCAGGCGGCCGGCGGCACACACAGCCCATCTCCCACTGGAGCCAGGCTGAGGCAGGACGGGCTCGTCCTCCACACTGCAGCCTCATTCACAGTTCACATCCCCCCAATCTGGACTTCTCTCTCCTCACTTTAACAACCAATGCCCTGGGGCTAGCGCTGTGGCATAGCGGGTAAGCCACTGCCTGCAGTGCCGGCATCCCATATGGGCGCTGGTTTGAGTCCCAGTCATTCCCCTTCCGATCCAGCTCTCTGCTATGGCCTGGGAAAGCAGGGGAAGATGGCCCAAGTGCTTGGGCCCCTACACCTGCATGAG